GCCAAACAGCGTTTCCAGAGAGTTCCACTATCGTGACTGGTCTGAAATATAAAGATAAATACAAAGGACACGTACAGAAAATACGATTCCCTCAGTACTAAATAAGTATTTTTGTCTCAAATTGATCTTAGATTAAAAAATAAATAAAAGGTTTAAAAGTTATTTTGTGTATTTTATTAAATTATGTGGACTGGTTATTTCCTAGTTTGGGTTAGTCCTGTGTTATCTGAAGGAAAAGTAGTGAAGTCAAATGAGTGAAAAGTGGTCGAAAACCTCGTTTTCACAAGAAACACCACTTAGAAAGCTTTTAATAAAATTTCTTCAGTTGAAACTTCTTGTGTTTTTGCTGCGAACCGAAGTTCTTTCGACTTTTATAAAATGTATTTTGTGCTTCCAATATACGCCCAGAAATAAATAATTGCACAAAACGGAGCAGCTCCTTTGCAAAGCAAATATCAACAACAAAAAATAAACTTTCTTCCGCAACTTTAGAGTAAAGTGTCTTCTAAAGCTACCTGCTTTAGTTTGGGTTAGTAAAGGAGAGTGTAGGTCCATGGAAACATTAATTTTAAGACTAACAATTACTAAGCTGGCAAAATTCAGAATTCAGGAAGATTCTTATGAAACTTTCAGCATCGTTAGAGGGTCTTCTAAAGCCGGTGAAAATTTTAAAGGAGGGAGAGTTCTCTGGAAGCAATTTATACCCACATTTACTAAGTTCAGTTTTCGGGTCTATTTTCATGAAACTTGTGTCAGCTGTCGAGTGAGGTATTTTCTAAAGCTGGTGAAACCTCCAAGTTGCTACCTGCAATAGTTTTGAAAATTCGAATTTTTAAATAGATGGTAGTTGCCTGGAAACATCCAATTTTGAGACCAACATTTACTAAGCTGGTAAAGTTTAGAATTCAACTCGATTTTTCTGAAACTTTCTGCATTTTTAGAGTAATATATTTTCTAATGTTGATGAAACTTTCAAGGTGTTGCTCGCTTTAATTTGAAAATTGTAAATTTTTAAAGGAAAGAGCGCAGCGGAGCAAAAGCGTCCATTATGACTGATAGCTAAGCTAAGTAGGCACTTTGCTACAGGCATTGTATTCTTGGATGAAGGGTACCAGAGTAATAAAGTTAAGTTTTCCATCGCTTTAACGCTGCGAGCAGAAGAAAGCAATGACAAATCATGAGCTGGCAATAAAAAAACCAATGAAAAAAATCTTGTCAATATCAAGTTAGGTATTCCGTGGCTCCTTAATGCTGCAACCAAAGACGCATTCATAAATTCTGGCCCTTTACACAAAATATTGAGCTCAAAGGGCTCAAAAATTGAAACTGTTTCCACCCAAGCAGGGGAGAATGGTGAACTTTCCAACGTCGAAGGGTCGTT